TGGATAACAGCTGGGTAACAGCTGGATAACAGCTGGATAACAGCTGGATAACAGCTGGATGTTAGAGCCTCTTTCTGGATAACAGCTGGATAACAGCTGGGTAACAGCTGGGTAACAGCTGGATAACAGCTGGATAACAGCGGGATAACAGCTGGATAACAGCGGGATAACAGCTGGATAACAGCTGGATAACAGCTGGATAACAGCTGGATGTCAGAGCCTCTTTCTGGATAACAGCTGGGTAACAGCTGGGTAACAGCTGGATAACAGCTGGATAACAGCTGGGTAACAGCTGGGTAACAGCTGGGTAACAGCTGGATAACAGCTGGATAACAGCTGGGTAACAGCTGGATGTTAGGGCCTCTTTCTGGGTAACAGCTGGATATCAGAGCCTATTTCTGGGTAACAGCTGGGTAACAGCTGGGTAACAGCTGGATAACAGCTGGATAACAGCTGGATAACAGCTGGATATCAGAGCCTCTTTCTGGGTAACAGCTGGATAACAGCTGGATAACAGCTGGGTAACAGCTGGGTAACAGCTGGGTAACAGCTGGATGTTAGAGCCTCTTTCTGGATAACAGCTGGGTAACAGCTGGATAACAGCTGGATAACAGCTGGATGTCAGAGCCTCTTTCTGGATAACAGCTGGGTAACAGCTGGGTAACAGCTGGATAACAGCTGGATAACAGCTGGGTAACATCTGGATGTTAGAGCCTCTTTCTGGATAACAGCTGGATAACAGCTGGATAACAACTGGATAACAGCTGGGTAACAGCTGGATGTTAGAGCCTCTTTCTGGGTAACAGCTGGCTAACAGCTGGGTAACAGCTGGATAACAGCAGGATAACAGCTGGGTAACAGCTGGATAACAGCTGGATGTCAGAGCCTCTTTCTGGATAACAGCTGGGTAACAGCTGGATATCAGAGCCTCTTTCTGGGTAACAGCTGGATAACAGCTGGGTAACAGCTGGATAACAGCTGGATGTCAGAGCCTCTTTCTGGATAACAGCTGGGTAACATCTGGATAACAGCTGGGTAACATCTGGATATCAGAGCCTCTTTCTGGATAACCGCTGGATAACAGCAGGATAACAGCTGGGTAACATCTGGATATCAGAGCCTCTTTCTGGGTAACAGCTGGGTAACAGCTGGATAACAGCTGGATAACAGCTGGATGTTAGGGCCTCTTTCTGGGTAACAGCTGGAT